AAAAAAAAAAAAAAAAAACAAGTTGGTGGATTCAGAAGTAAAGTTAGAAAATTAATTTTTGGCCTATTTGAAATTGATCATTTTCTTTCGAGACTGGTTTTTTTCCTTTTTTTTCCTTTTTTTTTTTTTTTTTGCTTTATTTTAAAGATACAAAACAGAAAAAGAAACATTTTTTTCTCCAGTTTAAAAAAGTTCAAAAATTTGCCTTAGTTTTCACCTAAGTTTGTTGTTCGGTGAACTTTTGAGTTTTTGCTGTAATCAGATGAAAAAGAGAAGAAATTCTTTATTTTTATTTGCTCTTATTTTTTTTTCTTTCTTTCCTTCTTCTTCTTCTTCTCCTCTTTCTTCTTCTCCTTTCTCTTCTTTTCCTTCTTCGTCCCTTCCTCTTTCTCCATCTTCCCCTTCTTCTTCTTCTTCTTTTTCTCCCTCACCTGTTACACTTATCATATTTGAGTGTCTTAAGGGATACAAAGATACCATAAGATGAGTGAGGTTCAAACTGTTGCTATTGCTGCTGTAACTGTCGTTGTTTGATAGATGTGAACAATATCTGCATTCTTGAAACTTTAAATTTTAGATTTACTCTTCAGTTCAAAGAAAATAACCAAAATGACCAACATTTTTTCCATTTTTTTCAAGATAACAAAAAAAAGACAAGTTAAAAAAGAAGTAAAAAATGAGTAGGTAGTAGTAAACGATTTTTCTGGTGTGCTGTGGCAAAAAAGAAAAAAGTCAAGACTTGAAATAAAGTTTTGTAGTCGGTAAAAATGCTGAAAAAAATGCTAAAAAAAGCAAAAAAAAAAATGAATTTTCTTTTCTTTATTTGTTTTACAGGTAATAAAGTGCAGAAAAAAAACTTGAGCTTAAAAAGATTGCATCAAATTTTTTGGGCAAAACTATATGCCTGAGAATAAACAAAATTTTTTTTATAATCCAAATTTTTTGGTTTCGTATTACGGCAGCAGTTCTGTGAACTATTTGGTTGCCTAATTTTTTGCTTAAACTTCACACCAGTACAAAAGCAAAAAAAAAAAAAAAAAAAAA